TATCCATAAATCTCTATCTACCTCTATCTGCCTTTACCTACTCATGAGACAAACTCAAACGCATGCGCCCTGGTAAGACTATATTTACACCGATCAACTATAGCTAAGCGTCTTGGAGAAATCAGGATCACGTCAAAACAATGAAATAGAAAATTTTTATTATCAGCATTTTTCTGCCATTTGGAAAATTTTACTCAAATTTTGGTTTTTTAGTTTCATACCTTTAATTCTAATTCAAAAACATATTTCTGCGTGGATTTTACTTTAAAAAAATGCTGGTTAAAGGCTCAACAAATGTACATTTTCAGTTTCCAAGAAATCTCAAGCTATGGAAGTCACCAAACTTTACTGGCCATTTGCTCGCATATTTTACCTCTGAGACCAGGCGACTACCCACCTTGTACAATCTCAGACGTCTATATTTTTAATCAAGATAGATATAGTCATTGTTTTTCATCAAAAGAGAGTCAGATGAACAAGCTTCATTATAATATTATTCCAGCTCCTTGAGCCCGAGAGCCCGTTATCTTTACCATTTGCCAGTCGAAGAACGCATTATCATTATGACGCTACGAAATTCAATGGTTCTCAGCTGTTTGGAAGTTGTCGGTGATTTTAAGATTAAAATTCGTCCATTGCATTAACAACGCTGTTTTAGTAATATTGCTTTGACTCTATCTACCTCTATCTGCCTTCACCTACTCATGAGACAATCTCAAACGCATGCAACCTGGTAAGACTATATTTACACCGATCAACTAAAGCTAAGCGTATTGGAGAAATCAGGATCACGTCAAAACAATGAAATACATTTTTTTTATTATCAGCATTTTTCTGCCATTTGGAAAATTTTACTCCAATTTTTGTTTTTTAGTTTCATACCTTTAATTCTAATTCAAAAACATATTTCTGCGTGGATTTTAGAACCCAAACTTTCCCCACTACGAAATATTACAACCAAAGTATAAACGTATCAACTCGACAGAACATTATGGGACGATTTCGGAATTTCATACAAAAAGTGCTTTTACTCATAGTAGAAAATCCTTCTGCAACTGTTAATCTCGAAATAGGAGACAAAACCAGTATCTCAAGTGCAGAAACAAAAACCAAAAAAAACCAAAAAAAACCGTTGTTTAATGGTAGACTAACCTTGTTATAGAACAAGTGCGGGTGGAAAAGGGGGCGGGAAAAAGAGAACTCGAAAGAGACAGAGAGACAGAGAGAGAGAGAGAAAAAGGGAGAGAGACAGGGGAAGGAAAATGAGATTGAGAGGGGAAGGACCGTGAAAGCGATAGATAATCTTAGAACCTTCCACCAACCCCCTCTCCGGAGGCCCTTTGGAGGGGCGAGTGTCT